ACAAGTAACCAGCAATCAGAGAACTAAACTTTCAGGAACAGCGTGAGCAGTGCAATAGATAAACCCCAATACCAGACACGACGTTAATAAGCACCTACAGATTTCTAAGCACTTTTCTGCAGCTCATCCCAAACACATAGATGAACACATATTCGTGGTTACGTGCACCCCCGTGGCAGCATGGGTTACAGGTGCTCACCTTGCATCCCCTGCAGGATGGGTGCAGGAGGCGGGATGCTCATGGTGCCACGGGGGCAGCTCGCAGAGGTGGTGGTGCCCACACGGGACAGCTTCTGGCTGTGCCAACCGCCCTGACCGCCGCTCCGATCCCACTTCTCACAGCTGCCAAACGGCCGGGCTTCTTATACTTCTTTTCAAGCTGATGCCTTTTTTCAGAAGTCTCCAGGTTACTTTTTAATCTGCCCGATGGTTGTCTCGGGCAACTTTTGGCACTGCTAACTTGCTCTTAGCGTTACTGGTTTTCTCCCCGAACAGTTACAGGCATTTTATTCCCCCACACGGTTTATGTTCACATTCCTGCCTTACCACTGTTGTTACCCGGGCCATGTTGCCCAGAGGGATGCATGCAGGCTCCCCCCGAGCTGAGGAGGGACAGATGTAGAGTCTCAGCACATCTTTACCTCTCATGTTTGCATCCCTCCTCTGCGAGTACCCCACTTACTATAATTTTGAATTTTTTTAGCCTAATGCAAGCTCACTGCTCTGAGCTTTTGGAACAGATTGGGTCTCAAAAGTTAAAAAAGCAAAGGAACACACCTGTTTTGTAACTGTACTGGCCTTAGGTGTTAGCAAGGTGCCAACTCCTCTCCTCCCTGTGCTGACTGTGGTGTTTCTTGTGCTATGAGATGCAGCAGTGCAAAGGGGTTATATAGAAGAGAAGCATCTGACTTATTTGAGGTCTTTACAGATAATTAAGGCACCTCTACCTCCATTCTTCTTGCAGACATATTCTCTTCTTTTGCCTGTACGTTTTTGTCTGCATGGAAGTTGGGGACTTTCAACCTTGGTCTAAGATTTCTCTGGATGTGTTAGCCCAGGAACGTTTGCCTGCGTACATAACTGTGTATTTCATATTTTCTTAGATTTCTCAGTGCATGATCATAACATATGGGTTAAAAAAATGTACTTAACAGGCAGGCAGAGTGTCTGCCAGCCTTTCTTGGAGTCAACAAAACAACAGAAACAAAATCAACTTTGAAACCTGTTTTTATCTGATCAATTGTCATTGTAATCAGTTATCAGATAGATAGCTTTTTAAAGGCAAACCAGTGAAAAATTTAGTGTATACTGAAAAATATTCCATAAGAAAAAATCTATTTACATTAATTTTTTTTAATATGTATGTGTAATAAGCAAGTCCAGAAGAGATAATAAAATCTTCCCATACAAACAAATATTCAAGTGTTGCTGAAAAAACTGTTAACGTCTCGCTTATAAAAAAAAAAGGTGGCCTCATGAGAAGACAGTTTATTTCCTGTAGTGCACTTTTCATGCAACCATTTCAACAGATAAATCTAAAATGTTCTGTATTGTACCTGTACGAGAATGTAAATAGGACATTGAGCCTTTTCTCTCACTAGATGGCATTATTGTCCTCAAAACAGTGACAGCCACAGACTGCTTTTTCCAGCGAAAGAGATGTACAAAAGAGTAGATTTCGTTTATTTAGGTTAACTGTATTTTGTCTGGGTTCTGCAAATGTGGCAGTTTAAACAAATTTCTGTTGCATCAGTGTTAATTCTTGAGCTTATCTGGACTGTTCATTTTTGCTCTGGGTTTGCTGGTTTTTGCTATCCATGCACTGATCAATATTGCAGAGATTGTGCAAACATAATTCTAAGTTGACTTGTTAGCAAAATTAGAAAGGGTGGTTCAAGGACTGAAATACACAAAAGCAATGTAGCCTCAAGTCTACATGTTTTTGCAAGTCTGTAAGATATACAGACTTAGTATACAAGCCAGTGGTGTGTGAAGAGAAACATGGGTTCCAGAACTTGGAGTTTCAGAAGAGGGAAGAAGCATATCAAGAAGATCAGAAGCAAGGGTGAAAGGAAAGAAACGATAAGCGACTGAAATTGAGAGAAGTAAACAGGTGGGGTTTAGGAGCAATGGGGGGAAAAAAAAACAAACAAACTTTTTATCACAAAAGAAGCATTAAAAAACTTTGTGAGCCATATGAGAGCAGAGTAGTTGCCTGCCTTTAGCACCAGTGCCAGCCCAGCCTGATAGAACCTGTTGGATGCCTTAGAGTCAAATCCATGCTAAGAACATTGGCCAGGGGCTCCAACTGAAAAGGAGGCTCATCAGCCCCAAATTAGTATGAAAGTTAAGTAAGGATATTCAAGGACTCAGCTTGAGAATCTTTTCAATAAGTTCAAGATTTTTCTGTGTGTTCAAGAAGATTTATTGGCTCTTCTGGATGCAGCTAAATTGTCCCTTCAATGACCTTTGGAGCTATAAAGATGTTGCTGAAAAGCAAATGTATAAACTTTAGAAAAAGTTAGTTTTACGAATTTTTGGAAAATGTCCTAACAAAGGCTACCCCATGCAACTGTACTGCACAGTTTTTTTGGTCTTCATTTTGCCCATAGGCATGTGTTATTGTCAGGACAAGCGGTTAGTTTTCTTTTTTCATTTGTAAGAGAAAATACTTGACCAAAGCATGTCTAAACACAAAATTCTTATCCAGCTGTTACTGACTTCATGTTGGTTGTGGCTCATAAAACATATTTTTGTTTAAATGTGAAAACAAACAAATAGGCTCTCCAGTCCTGTGTCTGCTCTTTGTAACAGGCATGCATGCACACAGATGCACACACGTATACCTGTGTTGTGTAAAATGTGCAATAAACTGAAGAAGAAGAAAGATTAAAGGGACCCCTTCCTGTGTGATACGACTTTAAGAAGCCATCTCAGGATTCCAATGATGATGCAATATATGAAGTGAGAAATTCTATTCGAGTTCTTTAAGTCATTGGGACCCTGCAGCTGGCCTTAATCCCTTAATTAGGTCCAGCAGCAAGACAACAGAAGGAAGAAGAACAGGAAAGCTTGCCACATATACCTGGCTCTAACTTAATAATCAGAGCTCTCAGGTAAGCCGTTTTTCATCTTATGTTTCTTCCTCTGCTTTCAGTGACAACAAATTCTGTGTAATATCATCCTTTTGGGATCTGAGCACCGTCCCTTCAAGGAAAACACTGGCAAAATCAGACCCATCTTTTCTAAATTCTGAGGATCATCACTTTTTCTGGAAATCCGTAGAAAGTACAGAAAATTACTTACCATCTGCTTCAAGCAAAACAGATACAAAGGAGCTAGTTACAGCAGCAGGAAAGTTTCAAGAAGATGAGGGAGAGCATGGTTTGGAAAATGCTAAAGAGAAGACAACTGATCCTCAGACAGATAATCCACAAAAAAAAGCGGGATGAAATTTAGGGCTATCAGAGGAGGTGATGAAGCAGATTATTGAAAGAACAAGAGAGGCCTTTGATTTCCTAGCAAAGGTGAAAATCAGAAAGCAGTTGATATGCTGTCCAGCGTCATCAAGCTGAATCCACACCTTGCCAGCTCACACGTTAACAGAGCCAGCGTCTTTTTGCAGATGCAAGAGCCAGCTATGGCCATTAGTGACTGTAACAGAGCTATTAAACTCAATCCCAGTTCAGCACAGGCCTATAAATTCCGAGGAAAAGTCCTCCAGCATTTGGAGCATTTAAAAGAGGCTGCCTGTAACATTTCCTTGGCTTGTAAATTATGTTCTGAGGCTCAGGCAAAGTCTGAGAGGGAGGAAGAGTCCGGTGAAGAGCTGAGGAGGGATGAGAGTGAGTTGGAGGCAGACAGGCACCAAAATTGCCAGGCACTAAAAAAAGTATGAGGAGAGACAACGCACAAAGCAATCACTGGATGCATTGCCAAGGGTGGGGAAATCCATGGCAGAAGAAGAGAGGGATCAGCATCTGACTTCTCAAGAAAAGGAAAAAGCACGGCTTCAGAATGCCCAGGAGCATGAACAAGTTCACCTTTGGACCTCCCCGGAACCTGATAATGACGTTGTAGGGAATCTGAAGAGCAAAAGCAATATCCAGTAGAAGAGAATAACTGTTACATGGAAGGTCCATGTAGAGCTGAGGGGAAGGAAGAGCCCAGGAGAGAATCAAAGACTGAGGACAGTGAAGTCAATACTGAAAATGAAGGACTGGCTGAAGAGACTGAAGAAGATCTTCAGAAAATAGGAGATGACAGCATGAAGATAGCTAACAAGATGATGAAACAGGCCATTGAAAAGGAAAGGGAAGTCTTTCATGCACTGAGAGCAGGCAAATTTCACAAAACTGTTGAGTCGTTCACTGATGCCATCAAGTTCAACCCACAGCTTGCAGTCTTACATGTAAGCCGAGCCAGTGTCTACCTGAGGTTGCTGAAACCAATAGCTGCCATTAGGGACTGTGACAAAGCAATAAAAATCAACCCAGGTTCTCCACAGCCCTACCACTGGCGATGGAAGGCATTCCAGCTCCTGGGTTGCTGGCACAAGGCCGCCAGAGACCTTGAACTGGCCTGCCAACTGGGTTAGAACGAAGACACCAATTCCATGCTAACAGAAGTTCAGGGGAGTACAGGAAAGAAACCAAAAGGGAAGATGACTTTGTGGATATAGCAGAGAGGATGAAGAAGGAACCAAAGGAGGCAGGATTAAGAACTAACAAAGCCCCCAAAGATATGGAAAGAGTTAAGAAAGCAGCCCTGGAGGAACAAGACGGCTCTCAGGAGAAGGACGAATCTTGGGAAGAGGCCATGAAGAAAGAACAGATACAAGTCAAGCAGAAGATGTTAGCTGAGCAGAAGAACACACCACAGGAGGTGACAGAGAGAGTCTGGAACAAAAAGCATTGCAGGAGGCAGTGTGGTACCTGGGACCTGAGCAACAGTTGATTGCTTTGCAGATAGAGTTGGAAGAGCAGTTCAAAACTCAGCAGATGGGGTTTGAGGAAGAGGAGAAAGTCCCATGGAAAGTTCTGGAGCAACAGGAGAATGCACAGAAGAAGTTGTTGGAAGAGAGAAACCAGTTGAAGACTCTGCAGGAACTGGAGAAAGCTCACCAGCAGGCTTTGGTAGGACTGATAAAAAACCAGAAGAAAGCCAAGGAAGAACGTGAGAGAGCTCAGAAGAAACCCCTGGAAGAAAAAGAAGGCATTGAAAAAGCCCTGGAGGAACTAGCAAGAGCTCAGAAAAGGGCCCTGGAAGAATTGGAGGTGGCTCAGATAAATGCTCTGGAGGAACTGGAGAAAGCTTGTAGAAAGGGTCTACAAGAGCAAGAAAGAGCTCAGAGGGCTGCATTAGAAGAACAGAAGAGAGTGCAGAAGGCTCTAGAGGAACTGCAGTTGTCACAAAGAAAAGCTGTGGAGGAGCAGGAGAGAGCTCAAATAAGGGCTGTCAGAGAACAAGAGGGAGCACAGGAAATCCTGAAAGAACTTGCAAAAACAGACCAACAAGCCTTAGAGGAGCAGCAGAGGACTAAGAATGAACAAAACGAAGCTAATAAAATCTTGGAAGAACTGGAGAAAGCAAAAAAAAAAAAAAAAAAAGCCCTAGAAGAACTTGAGAGAGCTCAGAAAGAGCTCCTGTGTGAGCAAGAGAAAGCTCAGGAGAAAGCTCAGAAGAAAGCCCTGGAGGAACAGAAGAGGACTCAGAAAGACCTGGAGAGATCTCAGGAGCAGTGTGTTGGACAGCAAGGGAACTTTAAGGAGAAAGTCCTTGTGCAATGGGAAAGAGCTAAAAAAAAAAAAGCTTCCTGAAGAAAAGGTGCAATTTCAGGAGAATACTGAAGAGTCTGGGCCAGTCTGCAAAATATTCTCTGGAGAACTGGAAACAACTCGGAGGAATGACCTGAAAGAACAAGCAACGTCTTTTTTGCAATGGGGGAAGAGACGGGGAGTAAGAAGTAGAGGAACAGAGTGTCAGTCTGAAAACTGTTCTGGAGAAAGGGCTAAGCCCTGGAGGAAGTACAGACCAACCAGAAAGTTCACTGAGGCCGCCCGCAAAGCCCATTTGGGACTCCTCGGAACAGGAGTGATTCTCAGAGGTGTGATTTATTGTCTGACCCAATGACAAACCAAAGGATAAACATTTGCGGAAGAGCTGAGCTCAATTTGGAGTCATCTGCGAGTGCTCTTTCCTTTAAAGTAAAATTTCAAAAGCAGATACACAGAATTGGGATTTCTTTTAAACTGTATTTTTTATAGCAAATATTCGAAGCATTTCCCATACCACATTTTGACCCACATACAAGCTTGCATGACCTTCCAAAAAGAGTGCCAGTTGTTGAGGTTCAATTCTCGTGCAGATTCAATTTCTTTCTATCTATGTACATATTTGACACTCTTAATGGCTCCTTGTCCAGGAGAATGAGGGACTTACTTAGGGGTTAAACAAATGGTGGCATTTAACGGGGAGTTAAAAATGGCAGAGCGAATTTGTGGCATGGAGACAAAATGAAATGGTGTATTGCTTCTGACATATGGTGGCTTGATGGGATCAATGTCTGAATTGCTTGAGGTCTTGAAAGGAATCCTGCTTGTCCAAGCCGCTCTCTGCGGGGGGTGACGGGACATCCTGATGTCAGCAAGTCCCTTTACAAGCGCTGGCTTTCAGCCACCTGGGGTACACATATTGTGTCAGAGGCTTGCCACTCGAACTCTGGATTTGCTTCTTAAAATGCCTATTGCATAATCAGTTGTTGAGGCTGCAGCCATTAAAAAGATTACCAACAGGATTTGAGCCTTTAGAGTAACATAAAACAAATTCATGGGATAGTTGTAAAGTAATGAAATGTAAAGTGTTTTGAACTTTTTGGCTGTCTTTATTTACTTAAATTCTGAGCTTTACTTTGCAACTGTGAGTGCTGGGAGCATGTAACTTAATTTATTTTGGGGATTTTTTGTTTTTTAATCACTTGATTCAAGGGATTGGAAGTATATGATAAACTCCAAGTATTGTCAAAGTTGGCTGAAAATATTTTGGGGTGCGTTATATATGCAGCAGCCCAAAGTAAAAACAAGGGAATATTCAGACCTGCAAATCAACATGGGAGAGCAGAAGCCCTGGTGTAATTGCTGCAGTTGCTGCTTCGTTGTGGCAGGAGGCTCGTTCAGGTGATGCTTGTTAGCAGGAGGGGGATTTGAAGAGAGAGGAACTGTGGGACTGTTTTCAAGTGAAGAGAGGAATTAGAAGTGCTTGGGTTGGAGCGAAGTTTCTGAAGGTCTTTGCCTGCTGAGAAAGCGGATAGGAGCTGCTGGAATAACTGGGTAAAGTACTACTGTCAATTTTATTCAGGGGCACTGTTGGAGGAAATCTTACCCGCGTTGTTTTCTTCTGTATTGATGAGTTGTAATGAGCTTACTTAGAGTGGGTCTTGTCTTTGTACAGAAAGCTACTCCTATCTTTTTATGCCTCAGGGGGTAGGGGGCTTCCTAAAAATATGGAGATATATAAAATGCATAAGTGTAATGCTAAGCAGGCTTGTTTCTGTCTCACCCTTGTGCCTGATAAATGACTCCTATGAGTTCCTGAGCGTGGTCTGCTCTTGTGTTTGAGTGTGGAAGTTACAGCACTTCAAAAACAGCGCTGAGGAAAACAGCGTTAGGAGATGAGTGTTGTTGGGTACTGTCTCTGCCCTGCCCAATGTGTGGCCGTTTATAATTGTAGAGGTTAGAGCTGATCCTTGTTCAGAGGTGGGGAGAAGATCTGGCACTTCCTGGGCAGAAGCAAAAATATATTTAGAATAAAGGCTATCATTTAAAAGAAATAATAACTGTAATGTGGCTTGACTGTAACTGTTGTTGCTTTTGTGGTCTCGTCTTTTCAAAACTGATCTCCTTTTACAGAGAAGCTCAGGGCTATTCACAATGAGGAAGGACCTGTTCCAGGGTGCCTGCTCTGGCTGTGGGAGCTCCTGTCATGCCAGGAGACCCATGGCAATCGGGCAGTGGGATAGGCCCTGGCTGGACTGCTTGTCAAGGGAATGAAAGGCTGGGAGAAGAGCTGCCTCCTTTCAGGGGATGGATTTATAGCATACAGCCCCTGGGGACATCTTAGTGTTGGGCTATTTGTGTAAGTGTACTTTCTCCTCTCTTTTTTTTTTTTTGAGGTCAGGTGATGTCAAGAAAGGAATAAGGAGTTGTAGGGTCAGGAGATGAAAATGGAAATGGGAGGTTTTTTTGGCATAGGGGGCATGTACTCAAAAATCTGTGCACATATGTGTGATAAAGAGATGGGAAAGAGAAAGAGGGAGACAGAAGGTATCCCAAGCACCGAGGTATTTTATGAAACTTGGGCACAGGTCTCTAGATACTATTTTGAATAAGAAGACAAAAGAGGATCCTCCATAACATGCTGGAAGTGGTTGATTTTGGTGGCAACTGCCAGGAGTTTTGGTACCTACTCTCAGAAGAGGACATCTTTCCTGTATCCCACCCCAGAGTAATGCACTCTGTCCTTTGCATTCCTCCTTGCTGTTAAATGTGCCAGCATCTTGTAAGGCAGTATAAATTTCCAAAGCGCCTCTTAGCTGAGGGTACTGGTTTTCAGGGAGTGGATGGGGTGCCTAAGAAATCCTGTATTCAGTTGGGCCTGTGCACTTGAGTGGAAAGGAAGATGAGCAAGTTTGGTGCTCAGGGCCAGAGAGTAACTCCCAGGTTTGGCTTTTCTGGATAATCATTTCAGGGCAATGAGTCACCATCGCTAGCAGCTTGTGGTCTATAATCAGTCTAGTACATAGCAGAAGCCATTTATTTTTTTCCTTGTATTTAGTAATAGATGCAGGCTAACATTTACCTTATAATTTAAAAAGGACTGGAGAAAGCAGGTACCTGGCCAAGGACACAGATTCTCCCTGGTTTTATGTATCATAAAGGAGAGGTAGCTTCCTTACTGCCTGCTCCCTATGTGGGGGTTAACATTTTATGTACCGAAGCTTAGGTGCTTGCTTGGTGGGATGAGGGAGAGCTGCAGAAACAGCTTTGCGCGTGGCCAGGGCAGGGCACGTGGTGTGCCCGTCCGGAGCGATGCCGTGGGGTGTCACTGCAGCACAGCCATGTGCTGCTGCCACGCTTGCCCCGAGATGGCTGTAAGGAAGATATGCCGGACAGTTACTCCAGAAAATACTGTGAGTACCTCTGTGTTACTCACTGTTAGTCAGGACGCCAAATTCAGTGATGTGGCTGTGTGGGACACGCAGATGGAGTTAGCCACAATGAAAGACTACCTTCAGAGAAAAAAATTTGAAAGTACTTTTTGGCAATGCGTCGAAGTCTGGATTTTTGATATCCTGTGATGAAACGTGTTGTGGTCTGACTTAAAAGAAGAGTGTAGAATATTCACTGCCAAATCATCCTTATTAACATCATAAGTCACCACTTTTGATTTTGCTTTTGGTTGTTCTGGTACTATGCCTCTCTCAGGAGAGGAAATGAAGAGGGCTGGAGCAGTGCCGAGTTAGACGTTTTGTGTGGAAGGAAAGGAAAAAGCAAGATAACTGTAGGAGCAATACTGCAGTAGTAGCTGTTGCATAGAGGACAGTAACTTAGAATTATTAAGAATGGTATTAGCACTATTTAGAATAATAATAGAATAGTTATAATGATCGCAGGAACTTGTGGGACTGTATGAGGTCCTTTGGCTTCAATCTGAGTTGCTATTACACCAGAAGGAGGGATGATGAGTATGGTTTCTGTGCCCCCCCCTTCCTGTAGGGGAATAAAAAAAATCCAGTTGTCCTGGAGGTGCGCATCTTGAGAGGCTTCAGGGTGTTTGTTTTCTCAAGTGGCCTGTAGGATCCCACCGCAGCCTACAAGATCAGTGAACCAGAATGCCCCTGCCTAACTGAGGGCAAAATTTGAGGAACAAGTTAGCCAGAGCACGTTTTAAAGACTACTGTTACTTTCACAGACCTGGTAATATTGATCACACTCTTGGACAGCTTACACTTGAGGCTTACTAAGAAAATGTCTCCCTTCTTCCCCCACTCCCCTTTCTGCTTCCATCAATGAGCTCTAACTCCTGCCATTGCTAACAGCTCATCTTGGGGAAAACCCCTTGTTGATAAGGACTGCAGCTTTCCACATGTGTGGATTTGCAGGGAACCCAATGGGATTTATTTCTTCAGCCTTTCAGGGTCAAATGAAACAGCTGCAATGGAGTAGAGGTTTTGCAAGCTCAAGGTCTGTCAAACTGAACTTCCAGGAAGGTGATCTGGCTGGATATAAACTGCCCCTTTTGAGGTTATAGCTTTGCTTTGGGGGTTGTTATCATTTCTGATACGTGCTTTGTCCAGTCTTGCAGGCTGCGTGATGCAGGCAGTTGGTAATCCAGCATCTTAGACTGACAGTAATGTGTCTGTGATGGAAAAATGAACTGTGACCCGTGAGGAAAAGGATTATCCCCTAATCCTGCTAAGGTGGTGGAGGGGCTCTGTTAAACCAGCTGTGCTTCTTGGCAGGGCTGGCTTTTCTGGAGGGTCTGCAGGATGCCTGGCCAGCATCTCTCCCGTGGCACTGCAAAGCCTGGGGCTTGGTACGGATATTGCTGTGAGAACAGAGACCGCACTGCTGAACTTCTAACCATTTTGGCTAACTCTGCTCTTCAGTAGTTATAAAATCACAGTTCCAGCTGTGATGTGTAATCTCAGATGTGGGCGGGATTTATCATGGAAACAATTCAATTTTGGCTGCCTTGCTGGGTAATAGCTCATATCATGAGTGAGAAAGTTGCATCAGAAACCAACATTAGCTGACCACTG